AAGGATATTAATAATAGGAAATCAATATTACTCTTTTTTTTTGCTCTCTTTCACATAAAGTAAATGTTTACGTGAAAAAACAGAATGTCAAAATAAAAAATTGTCTTGCATAAATGTGTATTGGTCAAACCGGGATTTGTGGATGGAGGGAGTAGTGTATAAGTGTGTGGTAAACATTTCTCTCAGGGGATATTGGTGAGTGGCAACCAAACGGAAGCTTGAAAGTTATTGACCGCAAAAAGAATATTTTCAAGCTCTCGCAAGGAGAATATGTCGCGGTAGAGAATTTGGAGAATATTTATGGTGAAATTTCAGTTATTGACATGGTAAGCTGCATATGTTTCAGTTCAAGGTTTTCTGGACGATATTGTTTAATATCTTTTTCTTGAAGTACCACTGAGAACTTAATATGTTCTTTTAAATGTGATAGAAACCGAATTCTTGTTTATCAAACTCAGCATCAACTTCTTTTGTGTACCAGATATGGATATATGGGAATAGCTTTGAGCACTTCCTCGTAGCTGTTGTCAATCCAAATAAGACAGCGGTTGAAAAATGGGCTGGACAGAATGGTTTAGCTGGAAACTTTGAATCCATATGTGAAAGTCCAAAAACAAAGGAATACATATTTGGGGAGCTGACTAGGGTTGCAAAAGAAAAGAAGGTTTCAGTAATTGATTCTCTCAACTTCAATATATGTTCTTTTGGTAGACTACTAATATCAAAATTTGGAAACTTATTTTTATTACGTATTACATAATGCTCACTCTTCCATTGCAGTTGAAAGGATTTGAGTTTATAAAAGCTGTTCACCTTGATCCAGTGCCATTTGACATGGAACGTAACCTTCTTACACCTACATTAAAGAAGAAAAGGCCACAGATGCTGAAATACTATCAGGTAATTTCTCTTGATGGGATTCCTTTATTGCAATTTTGTGAAGTCTTAACTTACAAAGCATTCCCATTCCCATCTCTTGAGCGCTTCCCAGTCAACATGTTATCAAACCTGTCTTCCGTTTAATTCAGTGAGTACACATGCTTATTGCCATGATCACATATAAAATCTGATACAATGCTTATGTACATCAATCCATAGAATTGTAAACAAAACTCTTCATTGTATGAAAAAAATATTATAGGAGGGATATTGATTGAATCCATACGATTTAAAGTATTCATGGATTTGGTTTGAGCTTTTGGTCCAATGTATTTTTGTAATCTTATTTTTCCTAAACCTTAATTTGACACATAATGATCACTACTCGTATGCACGTGGTTAATGAAAATACTATTGGACTGATATAGTTGTTTTTGTGCAGATTATCATTGACAACATGTACAAGAGTGCAAAATGAGGCCATGGCAATTAATTATCTCCATTTATTTATTTATTTATTTATTTATTTATTTATTTATTTATTTATTTATTTATTTATTTATTTATTTATTTATTTATTTATTTATTTATTTATTTATTTATTTATTTATTTATTTATTTATTTATTTATTTATTTATTTATTTATTTATTTATTTATTTATTTATTTATTTATTTATTTATTTATTTATTTATTTATTTATTTATTTATTTATTTATTTATTTATTTATTTATTTATTTATTTATTTATTTATTTATTTATGCCATAGTTGAACCATAGAATGTCATTATTAGCCAATCCGAATTTCTTATCATGATGGAGAAAATAGTTTAGAGAATAGAGAGTTTTCCATTGCTCAATCTTCTGGGTTATTTTTTCATTCATTTAACTGTAATAGACTGAATAAATTATGTTTTTGCACTGCTGGCACAATGCAATTGTTTTAGGTTTATGCTCATCCCTTTTCCCATCCCATCTAGCATTTTGGCTTTAAACTGAATTTATTATAGAGTTTATACTTTATGGTAAGGTACAAATGTTTTTTTTGCTACTAGTCTTTAAGATGTGATGAAAATAGAATTGCTAGTTTATATGAGTGCATTGGGGAATTGAACTCGCATTCCATGTACACTGTCAGTCCGTCACACATAACGTAAACTCTTGTTGTAAATAGCTTTATGAAAAAATAATGTTCTTTTGTGTTATCGGGAACATGGTTTGTATCTCTATCCCCACCTTAAAACTTATTAAGGTTGTAGATAGAGTTGGGTGATGACTCGAGGGGGACATGATTAGGAGATATATGGGAAGTTAGAACTTAGAAGTTTTAACTTTTAATAACGAAACAAAGATTTACTTGTGCACATTCTTTTCATAATATATTCATATTTATATAGAAAGTTGGAAAAGTTGTGAAGTTCACAACATGGCAGCATAAGTGCATAAAACAGGAGACAATGGTAGAAGGGTTCTCTTAAGTATACAGAAAGGAAACCAAAGATTTGCCTTTGGGTTCTCTGTTGAGAAGTCAAATTCTCCCACTTCTCAGCAATCTTTTCAATCTCATTTTTAAAACTGTCACTGATGAAAAGGACAAAGGCCTCATTTTTAAATTTTGCCCCCTTCACTCATTTCTTCTCCATCTCTCCATCAATCTTTATTAACACTCAAAGATTGCAAACCACCCAGATGTTGCACCGTTTCTTATATCCTAAAACACGATCAAAGTATGCTTGAATAAGTTGAATTCTTCTTTAGCTCTTCAAACCATATCGAAGTCCGATAGCAAGACTTGCACAGAAGCAGCAGCATGGATATACACAAATTCGAGGCTTTTTCCAGAATCTAGAGAGTGAAGCCAAACTGGAAAAGTATATGAGGAATTTTCATCTCTTAGAAAGACCCCAAAGAGGACCATAGAGTTTGGATATTGAGAGCTTCAAATTCTTGAGGCTCTTATTAGTAGACTTGTTAGTCACTATCACTGAGTATCTGTGATAAGCTATGAAGCACGGATACTTCGCTAGGGTAGCGTATCGGCGTATCCGATACTCTAGGATACCCGTACCGTACGTTCCCGGGCCGTATCTGCAATTTTTAAAAGTTTCCATTTTTTTTTGGTAATTTTTTGAAAGTTTCCGATACTCGTATCCTGACGGATACCCGTATCAACTTTTAAAAAAAAATCCCAAAATTTACTTAATAAAATTCTAAAAAAAAATGAAAATCTAAAACTACATTTACTTGGTAATCAAATAATGGGCCTATATGGCTATATCCGAATTAAGTCATTAACTCATACTCCGAATTGGATACTTGCACTTTTAATTTCAAGATTGTAGTTGTTTGACTTATTTCTCATTTTAAATTAATGACTTATTGACTATATTTATATTTCGAGATGACTAGTGTATATGAGAAATATTATGAATTTATTACTAAGTATCTTGAAAAAGGAAAATGTTTCAATGCAATGAATGGGTAGACATCATAGGATATTATATGTATATATATATATATATATATATATATATATATATATATATATATTTTCAAAAAAAATCTATTTTTAATATTTATAAATAGACCCCTGTAACTTTTAATATTTGTAAATACACCCCCATAACTTTTAATATTTATAAATATGGCCCCGTATCCGTATCCTACTTTTTTTTGTTTTGACGTATCCCCGTACCCGTTTCCGCGTTTCCGCGTACCGGTATCGGTGCTACATAGGTGATAAGTCATTCCTTAATAAACCCACGACTTTGTCACCCTCTTGCAATCCTGATGTTAACTAAAGACAATTAGACTGACGTGTACAAAAAGCGTGTACAAACGACACTTTCCTAATAATAACTTAATATTACACAGTACTTCATAGTATCTTGGATCGTTGCCTCGTCGGCCCAAAGGGCTATAAGAGTCTACTGCTCGTTTTTTTGGCTATGTTTACTACTCTAGTTATAATATATAGTATTACAAAGTAATTACCATTTACGGGATACCTTTTATTCTTCTGTGTCGTGGGTCGTGGATTCAGCTGAAGACTGAGTAACAGGGCCGGCCCAGGGGAGGGTTGGCAACCCAATGCACAAGGCCCAAAAATTTCGAAGGCGCCATAAATAATTACTAGTAGTATTACTACTATTCCCTCTGTCCTTAAAAATTTTGCCAAGTTTGACTGTCACGAGGATTAATAAAGTAAAAACTGTGTGGTTGAGATTTATGTAAAGGATACAGAATTAACTGGAACCGCAAATTCTTTATTTAAAAAGAAAATTGACAAAGTTAGTGGGACATTCAAAAAAGGTAAGTTAACGAAGGTTTCTGAATATTACTTAGGGCGTGTTTACTTTGCTGCTAAAGTCATAATTATGTTAACAAGACAGATGAATTAAACCCGCAAGTTGCTTAAAAAGCTGTTCATTAACCGAAAGAGGTGCTCAAAACGCCGCTTACTAAACATACCCCCCCTATGTATTAATTAAGCGGCACTTTAACCTTTTGAAGTTTCCGAATTTATCCTTACCCTTACCCCTTGTTGTTACCTACCTTAACCTCCTACCCCAACCCCTAACCCTACCCACCCGCCCTACCCATACCCCTAACCCTACCACCCCACCACCTACCCGCACCCTACTCCCACCCTTAGCCTTTACCCCTAATCCCTAGCCCTTACCACCCTACCCCACTGATATACCCCTTATCTTAGCCCCACCCCTACCCATCCCCCGTACCCCTTACACCCCTGCCCCTACCTTGACCATATCCCGACCCCCATACCTCTACCCCTACCCACCCTAACCCCTACACATTACACTACTCCTACCCCCGTACCCTATCCCCTTACCCCGACCCTAGGGGTACAGGTTAATGGGTGGCGGTAGGGGTACGAGTTTGGGGTAGGGTATTGGGGTAGGGGTTGGTATGGGGTACACAGGGTGGTAGGGGAGTAGAGGTAGGGGTAAGGTCATGGTAAGGGTAGGGTTAAGGGGCAGGATTGGGGGTAGGGCGGGTACATGTATGGGTAGGGCTAGGGGCAGTACAGGCTAGGGTTAAGGATATGAGGTGTCCCACGTATTTTGAACATTTTGAACAAATTAAACAGTATGCTTAATTTATGCGCCACTTATTAATCCCGTTTGTAATGTGAAGTAAACGGATGAAAAATAAGGGTGTTCATTGGGACTTGGGAGAAGCGTAGTCGCGTACGAGCAGTGTAACAGGCTACTGAAGGACTCAAGCGAGTAGACAGACGGGCAGGGAGTCAGCGACGCAGCGTCCTTCCGCGACCGCCACTCCGCCACCGTTCTTCGTCCCTCCGCCAATCCGCCATTAGGCTCTACCGCTCTACCGCCCCTACGCATCTCACTTTCTCAGCCTCTGCAGCCTCCAGGTTTCATTATTAATTTGTTATGTAATATATGTGAATATGTGATATTGTGATTGAGCGATTGATTTAGTGATTTTAATTAATCTTTTATATTTAACAAATTGCTATAAATATGTTTATACATGTTAAGTTGTTAGTTAAAAATAAAAAAGTTGGAAGAGCTTCAGTGCCTGAGTGGGGAGGGCTTTGCGGAATTTTTAGTTTGCCTGACATCTATATGAGGTGAAGTTTGTTGGTTCGAAGCATTTGATGGGAAATATAACTAAAAAAGGTTGCAAGGATGTGTATTGTTTAGTATATGCTGTTTCTGATATTTCTATAATTGATGACACTGTTTTGCCTGTGTAACATAGCAATCCTATTCAGAAACACTTTGGAAGTTTTTAGTTAATGAAGACTTTGGTTTTTATTATTATTTTCATTATGAGCTTGTAATCTAACACAAGTTCATCAGTATTTGTTACTATTATCATTTTTATTAATGTTTTATTTCTATTTGTGTTAGAAAGGAAGACCCAAATTTTGTTCTTGCACAGGGTCCTGACTGAGTTCACCTTTGGCGGTCGGGAGAAACAAGAATGGTGGACGAGGACTATGAGATGGATGGAGGGTACTCATCAGTTCGATTCCTTTCTTTGAAACCGCTATTTTAAGGGTTTCTTCATTAATGGCTACTCTCTAACTGTTTCTGAATGTTAGGGTTATATATATATAGAAATGCTCAGGTCCCTCCGGAGGGACGGGAACAGCCGTCCGAACTTCACTGTTTGGGGCGGTTCCCGGTGGAATTTTTCGATGCAATTTTTTGAGCATGTTCCTCATCAAGTCTAGTTTGTCCATACCCAATTTCAGATCAAAATTCGACCGGGAAGGCAGTCAAATAAATTCTTGAAGCTTACTGCACATTCTGCGCATATATAAAGTGCAGTAAGTTTCAAGAATTTATTTGACTGCCTTCCCGGTCGAATTTTGAGCTGAAATTTGGTATGGACAAACTAGACGTGATGAGGAATATGCTCAAAAAATTTCATCGAAAAATTCCACCGGGAACCGCCCCAAATAGTGAAGTTCGGACGGCTGCTCCCGTCCCTCCGGCTGGACATGAGCAGTCCTCTATATATATATATATTATATAAATAAATTTCCTAATTCCATACCCTCCGGAAACAATTATTGATTCTACTTTAGTCTGATGTGAGCTCCATGGATTTAAATAAAATCAAGCTATGCAAACGCAATACTTCACACCCGGAAGTAGGGGCTGGGAAGCATAGGGAGGATGAGATGTATGCTGTCCTTAGGTTTACCTCTTAGAAATAACAACTGTTAATGTGAAAATCCTAGCTGAAGCCTGATGGAGAGAAATTGGAAAATTTTCGTTAGCATTGCTGCTTTTAAAATTTTCAGTAATGATGTTGCTTCCCTGGATTAATGTAGTATATATAGTGGGCTTATACCCGAGATTTACTAACCTCGCTCAATAGTAAGCACTGAAATATGTATATATTTATGGACCGTTGCTTAGGCAAATTATATGAGTTGTAGTTACTTTGCTTGGTATGCATGACCATTACTTTTTGTTTAGTTGTTTCATTTTTTCAACATTTTGCTTCTTCAAGGATTTATGATACCTTTGTGGTACTTAGTACTTATGAATTGTCAATGCATGTGTTTCAGATATGAGGATGAGCCAGTTGAGCCTGAGATTGAGGTAACCTGATTTTGGGCACTGCAAATTTTGTTTTGTTTTGCGTAATAATATCATGAACTAGTCTCAGTTTTTAAAGTTTTGTATCATTGTGTGAGTTTTTTACAGGAAGGAATTGAGGCAGAGGAGGATGCCAATAATGAGGACCTACCTGATGCCATAATAGGTGAGGGTGAAGACAAACCTGAAGAGGTTGCTGTGGAGAGGCCTAGGAAAACATCAAAGTACATGACAAAATATGAAAGAGCAAGAATTTTGGGTACTCGAGCTCTTCAGATCAGCATGAATGCTCCTGTGATGGTTGATTTGGAGGGTGAAAGTGATCCCCTTGAGGTAATTATCTTAGATTAATCTTTTATACTTCCATAGGTACTTCATACTATAGGACTGTTCATTTACATTGAATATACCTTGCTGAACTGGCCTGGATGCCTGGTCTGGTCTAAACTTGTGTTTTCATCTCTTCTAGTTTGTTTTAGTCTAGTGAGGTTGAATATTTTGTGTATTAGTACCATTTGGTGCTGTTTTAGTTTTGTTAAGTCCAGGACTAAAATAAGTTTAAGTGAAGGGGTTCTAGATTTGCACATGAAGATTTTGCTTCATCCCATTTTGAATTCTCATTTTCAGTTAAGTGAACAAATTATCGATGATGAGAATGTTGAATGTTTAAAGAAATTAACAAATATAGATAACCAAACAAACATACTCAATTTAACGTAGGCGCAAGTATGGTCTTGGGAAGGTGAAATGAAATTTGAGCATACCTTTACCCCTAGGAGTAGCGAGGCTCTTTCCTGTGAAACCTCATGCTAAGGGAATTTTTGAGAAGTCATGGAAGATGATACAAATGTGAAAGCTTAAATGTTCTGTAGGTTTTTCAAATTACGGAAAAAGCATTCTCTAAGGCGAAGGGTAGTGTGAATAGTATGGTTGGAATTGTTTGGCCAGACAAGCAATAAAGTAACATAAAATAACTTCACACCGGCACTACAACAAAAACTAGGTTAGTAAGCAACTAAGCAAGTAGTATTAAGCAATAGAGAAAAACAGATGATAAGTAACACCAAAACCCAGACACACAATCAGAAGATTTATGTATATCAAGTATGGAATTCAGAGAAGAGCTCAGCAATGCCACCTCCGATCGATGAACAAAATGCCATTTTGTATAAAAACTGCCATCAAGATGGCATTTCTAACACATGCTGGCATTTTTTCCCGGGGATCAGAGCTGGGAGGTTGTTGAGGCAGCAGCAAAGGCCTGCATATTTTTTTCGTTTTTTATTTTGTTTATTTTACTCCTTCTGTCCCTTAAAACTTTGCCAACTTTCCTTTTTTGGTTGTCCCACTAACTTTGCCACTTTCCCTTATAAGTAAAGAATTTGTAGTTCCAATAAATTATCACTCCTCTGCACAAACTCCCAACGGACAGATTTACTTCCTGAAACCAATGTTTGCATCCATTGGAACCTTGAGGCAAAGCAGCGGTACTCTGATTCCTTTCTTGGTTGATGGGAAATAACTGATGTTTAAGATTTGGTCATTGCTTGAGAACATTTGCACACAGCGCACACTTTTCTCTACAACCTAGGACCAGCAACTTGCATTCATCTCACTGATTTTCTGCCAAACCCTTGGTGTGCTCACCACCTCTTATAATTCTGTAATCAAAGAATGCTGCCATTGAACCACTGTTCAGGACAAAACAGTTTGATCACCCAGCAGGTACATAGAAATAATGCAGCAACCTATGTTTAAAGAACCGGACCGGGAGACGACCCGGACGAGTGACCGGATCAAGGGTCAACCTGGACCCGGGGGTCAACCCGGTCAATAACCGGTAAACCCGGTCAACACCATTTATACATATATGTGTGTGTATAGTTAAAAATAATTCTCCATCATTATTAAATTTTGACAATACTTTATAAACATAGAAAACTATTATTCTCAAATACACAATTTATAACTAAATAATGAAAGCTTTTCAAATTAGAGAAATAGAAAAAAAGTTAGTATTAACATAACATTAATTACAATATATGACCAATATTGTATAATTATATTTTTCAATTATATCTGAAATTTTTATACATTATCAGGAAATATAATGATTAGTTGATTACAGTAGTATGCATTATTAGTTTTCATACTATTATTACTAATTAATAAAATAAGGTTTAATTGTTTAAGATGCAACAATAATGACTTACCAATAGTGTTGCTTTGGTGCTTCCTTTCAAAGTAAGAATACTAATACCGCTGCTTAAGCATTACGTATCAACAGGGTAAAATGGATTACTGGATAGGCACCACATTTCTTTACAAATGGTCGCACATTCGAAGCTTGGGCGTGATATTTTGCTCCTACTTTCCCGGTTTTACCGGGTTCCCCTGGTTTGATCGGTCCGGGTCACGTCCGGGTCACGTCCGGGTTTGGGCCGGGTCACTGGGTAATCCCGGTTTTCGTTCAATTAGCGGGTTAGTACATAACCGGACCGGATCAGAGCCTCGTTCACCGGTTTCCGGGTTGACCCGGCCGGTCCGGCCTGGTTCTTTAAACATAGGCAGCAACCCTTTCATCAATGGCTTAATAAAGCCTCCGTTCAGGAAAAATTAGATCAACTACATTCACAGTTCATCTTCAATCTAGACCGTCATATACTCCCTCTGCTCCTTGTTATTAGCAGAAGTGCCCATATTTTGTGCTTTTGTGTTCCCCTATATCAGTCCATTTAGGAAATATATGGTATACCATTTACGTAGTATTATTCTCCTATCCTGCCTATCACGTTTAATTAATGTACCACCACTACCACAAGTTGCATTTGGACCTTCTAATTAAAAGGTGGAAACTACTCAAGAACCCAACTTTTAAGGTCCATAGTTTACAAGTACTCCACAATCTTGAAAGCAGATAAGGATTATTCATTGGGACCATGAGAAGTCATCCATATACAGTGTGCTAACTGCTAATATGAAAATACAGTGCAACAATCTAGGAAGTAATAAAAATAAGGGCATATTGGATAGGATAAGATGCTAGTTTTAGATATAGTGGACAATTAATTTAGAACAGAGTGAGCGCTACATAATAATAATAATTATTATTATTATAATCATGCACACAAAAAGATTTATACCTGATAAGGAACATAAATAAGTTTCCAATACTTGATCTCTGCAAAGCATAGGTAAAATATAAAAGGTAAGGTGTTGAGGAGAATGAGAATCCCCTCAAAAGGATATCCACATCGTAAATTTGTAAGTGAAGAAATAAGGGAGGGAAGCAAAGAAAAAATTACTTGAAGCAACAATCTGAACTGTCTGAGAAATAAGATGGCAGTGATTCCTGCAAAAGTAACTCAGTGTTGTGACAATGCCGCTTTTCCACATGCCATATACTACCTCCGTCCCGAAAAGGTTCGCCATATTGACTTTTCTTGGTCAATGATGGCAAACTTTGGACAATGATTTTATTAATTACATTTGTATATAATTTGTAAATTTTATACTTTTATGAAAGTATTTTGAACAAGGAACATTTTGATATAATTTTCGTTTTCAAAATTATTTCATATTAAAAATATCATTAGTCAAAGTTGATTGTCATTGTTTCAACGAAAAGGCAGTAAGAGTTTTCTTTTTCTTTTTTGTTGAGGCAACTAATGCCAACTTTGGGCATTAGAGATATATTTATTGCTTTTATTTCCTTTATCATTGTTTATCAGGAACATACTTTGCTGAACTGCCTTATGCCTGATTATGATTTTCTACATTTTCATTTTAGAACTGAAATTTATTGCTAAATCGTGGTATGTGTCTAGTATATTTACTCAGCCTTAATATTTTCATCCCATAGATTGCTATGAAAGAGCTACGAGAGAGGAAGATTCCCTTCACAATTCGTCGGTATCTCCCAGATGGAAGGTCAGGCTCTTGCATATTTATAATTTTTTCTACATATGTATCGAACATGAGTAATTTCCATCATTTGCAATGAAGCCAAAGATTCATTATTTTTTGGCTTGAGAATATGATGGAATAAAGCAAAATGGCTCACTAAACTGTCTGCGCTTCTTTGTTATGAAGCAGCAGTCAGTCCATGCTATTTTGGACGCAATTTTCACTATGGGTCATCCGGAAACAGTCTCTCTGTGCTTTAGTACAGGGGTAAGACTACGTACATTCGACCCCCCTTACCCCACCGTAGGTGGGGAGCCTTTGCGGCACTGGGGTAAATGAAAATGAAAAAAATGATGTATCGAACATGAGTGTGGCCGTGTGGACAAGGAGGGGCATAGGCTGATACCATGTTCAGTAAGTCTGTTTTTTTGTTGTAAAAATTTATACACTGCATACACACCCAAAGACATGCATGGATATGCATACATATACATTTTGGTTCACATACAGACACATACCCATAGATACACCCTTACACATACATTTTGAATAATTGATCTTAAGTTCATGAATTTTGCAATCTACAGTTATGAAGATTGGGGGGTTGACGAACTCATTGTTGAAGACTCGTGGAAGAGGCAAGTCGGGGGAGACTAAGTAACCGTTTCTAAATTGTTGTAGTGCCTTTGATAGAATGATGAGGCTGCACTGTCAACTGAATGTTCTTGTGGAACTGTGATTAGTTTCAATCTTTCTGCTCTCCTTATCGTGGTGATAGCTTGATTAGCAAAAAAAAGAATTATTAGCATAAAATGCTTTTTGTACTTTACTCTAATTTCATAACATAGTGGTACCTAAGAGTGGGGTGGTCTCTTGTCTTGGATGGGGACTGGCCCAATGGGCGGCGAGTTTAGGACCAATTAGGGGTGGACCTGTTTTGGAACCGGGTCGAGCACGGTTAGGGACCAGAAATTCCGGTTTCGAGTCTATTCCAGAACTAAATCGGGAACGAGTCCAACCCTAAGACCATTCAGAAGAATGGAAATCCGGTCCAGATCCCGGAGGTAGACCAGAATCGGTATCTGCGATGTATATTACCTCGCCTTTGGATACCCAAGGTTGTATTATCTTGTCTCTTTTGATTGTTTCTTGTCTCTTTTGATTGTTGGGTTGTGGGAGGGGTGGGGCCGTGGGGGAAACACTTTTTGTTTTTTCTGAGGGGGACACTATAAATACATACTACATCCGTTCCAAATTGTTTTACAAAATTGACTTTCTTGGTCACTTAATTAGGATGCCAATTCTAATTATATTCTAATTGAGAATTTGCAACTTTGAAGAGATTTTAATTTAGTTTTTGAATATATATATTTTAATTATTAAAAATTGAATTAACTATCAATAGGGATGATTTAATTAAAATTGGTTGATAAAAAATGTTGACTTTACAAATCAATTTGTGACAGAGGAGTAGTGGTTGAGGTTTGTGCAGAGGAGAGAAATAACAGAAATCATAAAATAATTGATTGAAAGGAAAAGTGTCAAAGTATTTTGGGACGTACCAAAAAGTATTTTGGGTGGGGTGTGCCCTTGGTTTTAGACTTTTAGTATGAGTAGTATTTTTACTATTTTATGGATTTGTTCTCTAGCTTCTAAACAATTCGTCCAAGCCTTTTTGTGAAATTACTGTGGTTTGGAACTTTGGAACCCTTTTGCATCCAATTTGTTCAAAAAAATTGCTACAAATAAATATACTTACAAAAATTCTTATAAAGACATATGTGGTTATATTATTTTGTTTAACATATTATATTATTTTTACATAAAGTCTGACTATAATAATTGCATCGCTTATTTCTCTATTTTTATAAGTTTGTTTGCGCTTTATAGCATTTACATTTGTAAATTTCATAGATGATAAAAAATTGTAACAGCATCTCACACTTTTTTTTAATGAATATAACATGTGAACTTCACTTTACAAAATCACGACAATGTCATCAAACCATAAGGCGGTATTATTTTTCACATTTTTACACACTTCAATTATCTAAATATCTCAGCTTCCTCTACAAATCCTACATTTTACATTATTACACTTTATTTATGTCTTATATCTCTAATTCTTTCATGGAAGCAATGTTAACTCATCACTATGAACATATCAAATGCCATGTTTTATGTACACGAAAACATTTCTCTCCTATCCTTATTCTCTAACTACTCAAATTGTAAAGCGGCACACGAACAGTAAAGGCAATTTGCCCATTCATGCCTTTAAAATTACTAATCTGGTCAATTCAATTCCTATTTACAATCTGAGGTCAATTCCTAATTCCCAAATTATTTTTAGAAAAAAATTTATTGAATTAATATTGCTATTTGCTATATAGACATTGACATATTGTATGTATATTGAATATTGATATTGATATGTATTAGATGATAATCAATAAGTACATGAAATAATTACTTTCATATTATTGATATTAGTAAAGTAGTTGTTTTGTTTGATTGTCATTTTATTTAGAAGCCTTACGTTTTCTCTTAATTGGTTTGTTTATATTTTTGTATTATTTATAGGTATTGTGATGACGGCCAATAGTGTATTTTAAACTATTATGTATTAAGTGGTTTGGACTTTGGAGTATATGTTTGCATTTAAAAACTTATCAATTTAAACACTAAAAACATTATATCTAACACTTTCAATATGTTTTTTTTTCATATTGCGTTTTTAATCAATACATCTCAATTTTCAATAATACGAGTATGATTTATGCATAGTAAATATTTTTCTGCCTAGGCCCCCTGATATGCTAAAGTTACCCCTACAAATTATTGAACATGGTTAGAGTCACTAAAATTTATTGGCTCAGTATTTTTATTAAACGTGTTTATTGTAGTAATATACTAGGAATTACTTCGGGTTTGCCACCCGTAATGGCTAATACGGACGATTTGAGTTATTGAGTTTATTGTGCAAAAAAAGTTTTGAATTCAAAATTTGACCGTTTCACTTGCCCCATCTTAGTACGTACGCTACAATTGGAAGCTATACTAATATACTATCATGAATTCTTTAAGAGGGTATGAACTTTGGCATAGAGTTTTTTCCATTTTCAGTCCCTTGACTATTGAGTCAGTGACACTTTTGGTACTCGACTTTCAATTTTTTCATATTTAGTCCTCGACTATTGTGGATAGACACTTTTAGTCCCCGATTTCATTGTTTTCCACATTTAGTCCCCTAAGTGTTATAAAATTGACACTTTTAGTTCTTTCACTATGAATTTGACACAATAAACAGAGGACTAAAAATGTCACTATTATAATAGTTGAAGGACCAAAAGCGTTAAATTTATGAAAGTCGAAGGACTAAATGTGGAAAAACTCAAAGTCAAGTACCAAAAGTGTCAATGACATAATAATCGAAGGATTAAAAATGGAAAAATTTAAAGTCGAGTACCAAAAGTGTGAATGACATAATAGTCGGAGGATTAAAAAGGGATAAGGCTCAAATTGGACACTATGGTTTCATCAGAATCTCATATTTAACACTAAGGTTTTAAGTGGACCAAATTAGACATTATGGTTTCATATGTATCTCATATTGGACACTAAAGTTTCATAATTCAATATAAGTGAGTGTCCAATTTGATCTTTATCCAATATAAGTGAGTGTCTAAAACCTATGAATTATGAAACTTTAGTGTCCAATATGAGATACATATGAAACCATAGTATCTAATTTGATCCATTTGAAACCTTAGTGTCAAATATGAGATTCTGATGAAACCAGTGTCCAATTTGAGCCTTATCCCGGATTAAAAATGACAAAAACTCCTTTGGTATAAGTAGAAATCGAATCTTAATGGCAAGTGATGAAGTGGCATAATTATCATTACCATTGCTTAAAAAAAAATCTACGTAGTATAATTTATTACTCACTCCGTACCATCTATGAAATTAGTAAAAATCAAACCGACCAAAACAAAAACTAGGAAAACAATGAACGGTTTGGTAAACATATTTAGGATTGGTTTGCAACTCCTTTTAAAAAAACACTTCTCAGCTTTTGGCTTTAAAAAAGCACTTATTTTCCCAAACCTACAACTTTTATTTTTCTCGGCTTCCGCGTCAAAAGTGCTTTTACTTTTTCAATTACACAAAAAACACTTATTTTACCAAACACTACCCACTTTTACTTTTCAAAATCACTTTTTTCTCAAACACTATCAACTTTTATTTAATCACTTCTCCCCATTTCATTAAAAAAAGCACTTTTTTTAAAAGCAGAAGCTGTTGCAAATAGACTCTTAGATTCTCCGCATACGAATTACGAAATCAATCATAGCCAACTCAAATTGAGGGACCGTCTAATGGATTTGGAGCCCGATTCCAAATGACAAATTGAACAAATTAGAAAAGATACAAAGAATTAAAGTATACAAATTAGAAATAGACTAGGTAGTTCAATGAAATATAAGTTTTATGGTGTTTAAATTATACAAATTAGAATTTAAAATTCATACGTAGTATATATTTTTCGAATCTTGAATAGTACATAACATATAGAAAAATCAACCTATAAGTCTATAACTAATATTGCATTCTAAATTTTGAAAGCCCCCTACAAGAGTGGGCCCCAATGCCAAACACTTATTGCATCTTCTAAAAAGACGGCCCAACTCAAATTGACTGAAATTTACCAAAATAGATTGACGCCATGAACAAACCTAAAATAAACCAACTAGATCCGACTTATGGATTGAGCTCGATTCGGTTCTCAATCCCAAAACCAAAATGACTTAAATTGAATCGAACAAATAAAAAACACACCAAACTGAACAAACGAACACAGCTAATCATGATTCATAACCAGTCACACAAAAGCAAGAGTAAGTGGAATAGTTAATACGGAGTAATAATAGTTTAAAGTTTAAACTACTGATGGAGTGGGTCGTATAATGGATTGATTGACTAATGGGTCTATGTGGTAGGTTAACAAATCAACATTGCAGCCCAAGGTCCTCCAATTGGCCCAATTCAAGACGTCTAAGTGGTGAGTAGTGAGTATTTTGGCTCTGTCTAGGACATGCAACGCTAGTAGCTTAACATATTAAACATATTTGCAAAAAAAAAAACATATTAAACATGGAGGCATCAAATTATGAAGCTATGACACTTAGTGGTCCACTAAACATATTTTTCATCGAATTAATTATCAAATATTGCCATTTCTATTTTAGAACCCAACAAATAAATCATGTGTATCAAAATGATGAAAATATTTTCTTACCTTTTCTACTTTAATTTTCATGTTGTTTTGATGACTATACATCCTTCCTAACTTTCATTGAAGAGACCCATCTCATCTACGTATTACCTCTCTCACTAATTAGTTCTTCCCCATAATTAAGCTTGTAAAGAAATGCCTCGTTCTTGTCTGATATTATTAGTAAGCATATGAGATCCTCAAATGTAAATGTGAGAGTAGGTAAACACTTTGCTTCATCTATTGTTTGGGGTTTTTTGCTCCCAAGTACTACTGTACTAGGAAGCTTTTCATCACCTTTTTGACTTGATCTTCAATTGAAATTATTCTTTTTACCCTCTTCTTAGTAAGTAGAGTAATTATGTCACGAATTAACTCTGATTCATTATGAAAAGCGTAAGTAGAGTAATTATGTCACGAATTAACTCTGATTCATTATGAAAAGCTTATTGAAAATGAAACATTTATTTTCTTGTAATTCCCATTAACGAGTAACTTCGAGTAGATTTTACATTTGTTTTGCAATTTTGCATTCTAGAACATGACCAGGAATGACTAGACCAATATCACAAATTAATTATTTAATAGTTTGGGTAGTGTGCTCAAGTTTTTGGTAGTCATAAGCAATATATTGAGATTCGGGTTTAGGTTTAGCAATTATAATACCTTTAGCAAAGACCTTTGTGATGACATTATTATATTCGTCAATGAATTCCACACTTGATAATTTTATGCGTTTATAAAGTTCTTCATCCAGCTTTGCTAGAATTACTAGAAATTCAACTGATTAGTGAAGAATATTGGATAGGCTCACCTTAAATTATCCCAGTCGATCAATTGGATTCA